AGAAGAGATATTTTGTAAAAAATAGAAGTGTACATATTTTTTACTTGGACAATAATTGATGCTTGATTTAATGTAATATATTTTACAACATATATTCAATAAAAAATGATTATTATTAAATTTAAATTCAAATTTAATAATTAAACCAGTGAATAACTAGAAAATGTACTAATCATTACTCTTTCACTTACAAATAATTAATGTTAGTTAAAAAAGGTCAATATATCCCTGCGTATTTCTGCTATTCACCGCAATGCTTTTCCCACCAGGACGCAAAGCTCTATAACTTTCTTGGATCCTAACTCCTTAACTTCTCTAACAAAGGTCAATCCTAGATCATCTAAATCAGTAGCATCAGCATCCATTGTAATACCCCAAAATTTCTAGAGCACTAAAGTGTGAGTTAGGGACCTAATTGTGAAGATATACTATTAATGAACTTAATAGCAAATATTCTCAAAGTTCAGGGACTAAAAAGAAAAGAAATTAGGATAAGGATCAAGGCTGATATTTTTGTCCTCAGCCACGTGTTTTGCTCGTCTTCATCTTCATTTTCTTCTCCTCTGCCAACCGAAGCTCCCCTAAGCCACCGACTCATCCCCTTTGAGAAAAAATTGGTAACAAGCTTGATTTTTTCCCTTCCTTTTCTTGTTAAAGAACTGATTTTAGGACCTAGAACCCTCCCTTTGAAGTGGGAATTTCAGATCTGCTCTGTTTCTTCCCCTGGGTCTGTCCGCTCTTCTGCTGGGTGTGAATCCTTCGGGATTTTCGGTAAGAACCAGCTTCAAGTTCATCTCTTTAACTTTAATTTGGCTTGGGTCACTCTAATCCCTTTTGTTTCTTGCTATTTGGTGGTAGTTTTCATGATTTCTTCTCCAGTCTCCGTCGGCCTCCATAGCCGCCAGCTCCGGTTTTGGCTGCTTGAAAAATATTGTTATGTTGATGGCATCTTTAAGTCCGAAAATGGTTAATTAGTTGCTGCCTTGTGTTGTTGAATTTTATCAAATTGTTGCTGCCCGTGTTATCCGAAAACCCTCTGCTGTGCTGTCCGAATTTCTGCAGAAATATCGAAGAAGTTGGCAGCATTTTAAACATGTTTTTTTAGCGTAATTCATGTAGAAATAAACCTGTTTTTGGCTTGAAATTAGCTGCTGTTCTGTGTGGAAAATCCTGTTGTTTTGCCAAAATTTCACTGTTCACGCGCAGTTACTGTTCACGCAGGAAATTTTGCAATTTGCTGCTGCGTTTCTGCATTTTTTTTCTGCATTTTTCTGCAAACTTGCTGCTGCATTTTTCTGCAAGTTGCTGCTGTTTTCACTGTTCACGCAGAAACATTCTGCATTTTACTGCACTGATTTTTTTGACCAGAAAACTCTGTATTTTCTCCAGAAAAATTCTGCATTTTGCAGCATTTTTCCTTGCTATTTTCTGCATTGTTTTCCCCCAAATTCTTGCCATTTACCGCAAATTTCTGTTCCTTGCCAAATTCTGGAAGTTGCAGTTACTGTTCACTGCGTGCACTGTTCACGCGCACTGTTCACCCGTTGAATTTTAAGTCATTGGAGTAGAAAATCTCATGGAATACGTTAGTTATGGCATTGGATTAATTTTGGTCCAGTAGTGATGTATTATTGCTTGGGGTTTTGTTTGGTTGTTGAGAATGCGATGGGAAAATGAGAAGGGAAATGGTTATTAATTCTTGAATATTTTGATTAGGTTCCTGATTATTCTGTCAGTTAGCACTGAGATCGAGTTCCCAATTTTATGCGAGTGAGGTAAGTAAATTTATGGTAATGCCCGCACTGTTTTTAAAAGATGTTTTGACTTGTTTTTGAAGTGGTGGCGGGACTAAACCCGTTTTATGCAAAAGTAAGTATGACTGATTTGAAGTGAAGTTTTATGCTTTTCATTAAATTGAGCATGCTTACTTGAAATTTAATTGATTGCCCTGATGATCTGAAAATGATTAGTAAAGTATGATTTTCTGTTAACTTCAGCCTGTTTTGTTTCTGATGTGGTCATGTTTCTGTAATCCTGCTAGTGGGAGTTAAACGCTAGCACATGTCGGCACATATCGATATGTTCTTGTTAGAACCGGTTCGTTCCTGTAACCCTGCTAGTGGGGATTTTACACTAGTAATCCCTGTTGCCTGCCAGTGGGAGGTTTAAACACTGGCCATGACCTATAGAAGAGACGTCTATTTCGTTCCCGTACTTGTATCCGTTTTCTGATTACACTTGTTGGCATGCTATAAGTTTAATTGACTACTACTGAACTTTATTTTGCATAATGGTTATCATTGAGCATTCCGTTTATGTTTAAACTATTTATCTGAAATGCTCAAATTTTATCCACGGGTTATCCATACATTTACTTATTGAGATATTTTATCTCATAGTTTTCCCTTGTCCACCATTTCAGGTAGTATGACCCGAGACACGGAAGCCACGGGAAGTGACGAGTTAGAAGGCTAGCCATTTCGAGATTGATATAATTTTAGAAATAAATCATGTTTTTTGTAAAATAGATTTTACCTTGTGATTTTAAGTTTAAGTCATGTTGGACATAGAATTATTGAAATATCTAATTTAAGTTATTGGATTGTCAGATGTGAATTGGATAAGCTCCAAGCCTTGTGCATTTGTGGGACTCTCTCACGAGTGCACGGCGTCTGTCGCGCCTCGAATTCGGGTTTTGGGGCGTGACATCCATAGCGTAACATCCATAGCGAGGATCTGCTTGTAGTTACTATACAAACATGGATCT